CCAGGCCCTGCCCTGGGGCGGTGCGTGCCGGCTCAGGCTGAGAGGCTGCGCGCTCCGGGACCTTGCTCCCACGGAGCCCGGCCCTAGCGGGAAATAATGCAGCTCGCCTCCCCGGCTGATGGCCGGCCCAGCCCACCGGCGAGCATCCGCCCACGGGCCCCGCTCCGCCGCCCGCCCGTCCCGCTGTCAGTGATGGAGGGGGCTTTCTGCGCCCCAGCGATGCCCAAATCTTGGAGCTAGAGAGAAGGGAAGGGAGCGACACGGCCTGACGGGTCTGCCGCTAAGGTGTTGCAGCGCGAGAGGAAGGGCTCCTCCTGGGTCCTAGGCAGCCCCGCCAGCAAACAGCAGCAACCCAGCGCGACGCGCGTTAATGGGCGCAGCCGCCGCACGCGCTCCGCCTGGGAAACGTAAACGCGCAGACTGGGGTGGGGGGTGGGGAAACTACAAGGGAAGGAGAGTCAGGGGCAGGGATCACGTCCCTTAGCCAGCCGCTGAATGAGGAACCGATGGCAAACTAGAGCAGAAATCCTAAATCTTGTTAAAATGTAGATTCTGATTCAGTATATCTAGGAGTGGAAATGCAAATTCTCAGCAGCGGTTCGAACTGGAATGAACCAATTCAAAGCCCTGTTTCCAACCACAGGCTATAAGAGTCAAATTAGTGCTAATTCTCAAACTTTAACGTCCTTACAAATCATGGGGGAGGGAGGGTCTGGTTAAAAAGCAGGTTCTAATTCAGTCAGTCTGGGGTGGGGTTTGAGATTCTGCGTTTCCGACAAGCTGCCAGGTAATGTCAGTGCTGCTGGTATTGGTACAATACTTTCAGAAACAGGAATTAAATGGCAAATTCCTTGAGGTAGGACTCCATTCAAGTACTGGTAACTGCAGATCCTATCAACTTTGTAAATGCCTTAAGTTGGGTGTGTATTAGTTTGTTTTGCTAGTACACTATTGTTGCTTGGAAGAAAAAAAAAAGACTTTGTCATCTATTGCTGCAGTAACAAATTACCTAAAAACATAAAACTAAAACCAGACCCATTGCCATTGAGTCAATTCTGGCTCGTAGAAAACCTATAGGACAGAGTAGAACTGCCCAGTAGGGTTTCCAAAGAGCGGCTGATAGATTTGAACTACTAACCTTTTGGTTAGCAGCAAAGCTCTTAACCACTGCACCATCTAGGCTCCACCTTGGTCTTATCTCTCTCTTAATCTAACACTTGTCTGAGTAAAAACTTTTGTACAGAGTACTTTGAAAATGGCTTCATTTCTCTGCTATAGACAATTCAAGAATTTCAATTAAAAAACTCTGCCATTTTTGCATGATTAGAAATGACTCCTTTCTGCCTTTGATACGTAGTAATTTGAAATTATGCACTATCTAGTGTGTGTGAAAATTTTGTTGGTGATAACCAAGAGAGGTCTTCTAAAAACCACTTAGAGCAGAAAAGCTGTACCATGCATAAACGAAAAGTAATTGTTTTTGTTCCCTATACTTCTGTTTGGACCACATGGGTTAGTAATGCAATTTCAATGCCTTTAACCAAGTGGTAACTCCCTCTCCCCCTGCTCACCTCTACATCTCCACCTTGACTAAGAAATACAATGCAAATTTTTATTTAGCATAATTTGTTTAAATGAGACTTCATCAAATACTACATTGTGGAGCTTTGCATAATGCATAAGCAGCCTGCTTTGAACAGCTTCCAACTTGCCTCGTGCTATTTCTGAAATGCCTTGGCTCCTCTTCCCTTTGGGCCAGAAACTTCTGCATCTAAAGGCAGTTTTCCCGTTACTCCATTACTTATTACATAAAGGATGTCTACGAGCTTTTTAGAATTGCAGTGTGTGGAGACTTTCTGCTGCCTCACTCTTTCATTGCTGTTTACTATGTGCCAAGCATTTCTCCCAGGAGTAAAAGTGATGAAACAACTATTTTCTGTTTAAGATGAAAAGACCTGGTGACCATGGACTTGAATTTGTGAAACAGAGTTATTTTTTATTTCATAATCTTTAATGATTATGAATTCTACCGTTCTCTGTCAAGCTTTAACAGAAAGGATATAGAGCAAAGTGGCTCAGAAAGAGACTCTCCACCCTGAGCACATAACCTGTACCCAGACTGGAAAAAAGAACCATAGGAACTGTTTCCTCGTTTGTTTCACCTGGGGAGCTTTGCTGGTCCTTTTTACCTGTGATTCTTACAGCACTTTACAAATACATATTAATAACTTCTTCGAAATACATATGAGGAAATGTTTAAAATGACCTTTTTGGGTTCAGAAAATTCAAATTAAGTACATGGGTTAAGTCTTTCAGAAGGTCCTAGTTTTTTTTTAATGAAAACATCAGTTGAGTTGAAGGAAAATTCAACTATGCATGCTTTAAATGTATATAGTACACCAACAAATATTTTTAATTGCAAAAGGAAATTATGGTTAAATAGTTCTTCTTATGAGTACATTTAACTAAGAAAAAGTGTCTAGTACAAAGAGTTCCACATTTTATGTTGACTCTGGATATTCAAAATTATATTCAGTTCTTTTGTTACTGACTAGTTCACCTGCAATAATTGTTAAACAAAAATAACAAACATTAAAATCATATAGTAAACTTTTTCTTAGAAACTTGCATTTTTTCTCTTAAATCTCCCTGTGAAAAAAAATTGGGCAGGTAGCAGCATCTCTAAGGAATCCTGGTGACACAAATGGTTAAGCACTCAGCTGCTAATTGAAACCCACCCAGCAGCTCCATCAGAGAAAAACCTGGCAATCTGCTTCTGTAAAGATTGCGAACAAGAATACCTTATGGGGCAGTTCTATTCTGTCACATGGGGTTGTTATGAGTTGAAATCGACTTGATGGCAACTAACAACAGTAGTATCCCTGCCTTACAGGGACCCAGGCACAGCTGAGTGATTTTCCACAATTATTTTAATAAAATCGAAAGTAAAACACTATGGAAAAGTACCATAATATACTCTTTTTGTTTCTGTAGAACCAAATTTCCCAAGCCCAATATAAAATTTATTCTTCAAATCTAGGCTTTTTTCCTCATTTAAAATTGAGAAAGAATTAGTTATCTTAAAATTGATCATGATATTAGTGGTTTCCTCCTTGCAGGAGCAAGTACTGAATGTGATAAATTTTGTTCATGTCATTCTACGTGATAGATTAAAATAATGACGTTTATGAGTATTTAAAGGAGAAGAAAGCTTTTGTGATGATTAATATGTAGTTATGACCTAGTTAACGAAACAGATCAAAGAATAAGAAAGATTAAGGAGCAGAGATAGTAATTGACTCCAGGGTGTGCTAAGTCTAGAAAGTGTTCATTTCAAGCTTCCAAAATTCATTAATCATGAAGAGGTCTATCTCTTTAGGAATTTATAGTTAAAAATTAATGATTCTTATCCTTACAGTCAGTTTATAATGCAAATTAACTGGTTATTTTAGGACAAATGTTCTCCACCCTGTACACATATTTGAAATATCCAAATGCTGGTAAAATGTATTTATCTTATTTATGGGAATAATGATACTACTCAGACTTGGTCAGTACCCTTTACTGAATCTATGTTCTTTTGGCTATGTATATAGATTCAAAAAAATAGTTTTTCTTTGGTACGTCCCAGAATCCTATCTGAAATCACTGATACTGACCATAATTTACTGTTCATGGGAAAGATTTGACACAAATACATCTGAGATTAAACATTTAAGGCGAAGAGGTATGTGCATGTGATTGTTGATTATATTTGTCATAATGTAACTGATATGTTCATCTTTAACAGTTTGGTAACAACATAAAGTTTGCTATTAAAATTAATACAGTTAATTATTATTCATTATTATACGACAGTAATAATAATTTTCTTCCTAGAATTTCCCCCTTCAGTAGTAAGCCAGTGAACTCCTGGGTTTTTGTTGTTGCTGTTGTTAGTTGCCGTCAAGTCAGCCCCCAACTCGTGGCAACCCTAGTACCACGACCATTGTGATCCATAGGGTTTTTATTGGCTGATTTTTTGAAATAGATTTCCAGGCCTTTCTTCCTAGTCTGCCTTAGTCTGAAAGCTCCACTGAAACCTGTTCAGCATCACAGCAACATTCAAGCCTCTACTGACAGACAAGTGGTGGGGCAGCACTGGAGGTGCACACTTGGTTCAAAAACTTAGTCCAATGTCCTCATGAAAAGAAATCTAGAAAATGAGTCAGACCTCCAGTGGGCCTGAGTCCCAGCTGCTGTTCTGTGTCAGGAACCATTACACCTTATACCGTCTGATGACTGAGGCATGTACTGTAACTCTGGACCCAGCAACAGTTCCAAAAGACATAGAGAAAAAGGAAAATTTCTCTCTCTTTCTGTCAAAACAGAGTAAAGTCTTGGTGCCAACTTGCAGGACGTCTAACTCAGAATAAGGGTCTGTTATAAAGTGACTTCTTTACCATAGTTCTGGCTTTCAGAGCATGGTGCAATGATTTTATTTAATTACAAATATGTAGAAAATGGGGCATGTTGAAGTAATTACAGATAATTCTTCTTTACATGTTCTTACATACCAGGGAAATTCTTGTGTGTAAAGAAAGTCTGGCTCTCTTAATCTCTTCAGCCTTCTCAGATTCCTTTCATAGACCTGTCACACCAGAATATGTAATATCATCATGGAAATACTGCCAACCAATATTAATAGCCCAGTTGTTCCTCTCAGAAGAACAACTGAAGGCACCTACCTCATTTCATGTAATTTAACAGCTTACTCACACAATTTGGTGA